TTTTACATGGGGATTTAAAGGAAGAAGTTTACGTAACACAACCAGAAGGTTTCAAGGTTAAAGGTCAAGAGAACAAAGTGTATAGATTGAAGAAAGCACTTTATGGTCTACGTCAAGCTCCAAGGGCTTGGAACGAGAAGCTAAACAATGTTCTGAGTGAGTTGCGTTTTGTTAAGTGTTCTAAGGAGCCGGCGTTATATCATCGGAAGGAAAAGGAGCATCTCTTGCTTGTAGGAGTTTATGTTGACGACCTTCTAGTCACAGGTTCTAGCCTTGAGATGATTAAGAAGTTCAAAAGTGGTATGTCTGCAAAATTTGAAATGAGTGATCTAGGGCTCTTGACATATTACTTGGGAATAGAGGTTAAGTAATGTGATGACGGAATCACATTAAGTCAAGAAAGATATGCTCGCAGAATACTAGAAGAGGCTGGTTTACATGACTGTAATCCTGTTCATGTACCGATGGAACAGAACATCAAAGTGTCCTGAAGAAAGAAGCATAGACGAGAAAGAATACAGAAGAAGCATCGGTTGCCTCAGATATCTACTTCATACGCGACCTGATTTATCATTTTCTGTTGGCGTTATGAGCCGATATATGCAGGAACCAAGAGTGTCTCATGCGGCTGCAGTAAAACAGATACTCAGGTATTTGCAGGGTACTTTGTGCTATGGGTTAAGGTTCAAGCGTGATAAGCAAGGAAAGGAGGTGAAAGTAATTGGTTTCTGCGATGCAAGTCATAATGTTGATGATGGTCGAAGCACAACTTGATATGTGTTTTATATAAATGAGTCACCTATAAGCTGGTGTTCCCAGAAGCAAGAGACAGTTGCACTTTCATCTTGTGAGGCAGAGTTTATGGCTGCAACAGAGGCAGCAAAGCAGGCCATTTGGTTACAAGATGTGATTGCTGAAGTCATAGGTAAAAGGAGTGACAAGGTGACGGTTCTGGTTGATAACAAAAGTGCAATATCACTGATGAAGAATCCAGTGTTTCATGGACGTAGTAAGCATATACATCGTCGGTATCACTTTATTAGGGAGTGCGTTGACAATGATTTGATCGAGGTCCAGCATGTACCAGGAGTTGCTCAAAAGGCAGACATACTAACAAAAGGACTTGGCAAGATACGTTACAGAGAAATGAGATTGATGATTGGAGTCGAGGATTTGGCAAAAGGAGATTTCAAGTTTAGAGGGGAGATTGTTGGAAGATAAACTTGAAATAACTTAGGAAATAAGTTATCCATATCCTTCTTGGTTTTGTTTTAAAGGATTAGGACAAGTTTGTTAGGTTTTGGTTTTTATCTCCTATATATATGGATGCGTTTGTTGCATCCGTAGACTTGGAGTTTTGGAGTTTTGTCTTTGTGTTCTTGAGTTTTGAGGAATTTTCTCAAGGATTAATAAGAGAGCAAGTTCTTATTAAACATACTCTTCAAACTTGTGAAACTATAGTCATTGTCTGCAATGACGGAGCTCGGCCAACACTGGAGATCAAATCGAGTAAGGCAAATCCTCCTTAAGAACCTTGGTATCAAGCAGCCGTTGTTTCGTGTTTGGTCCTTAACCTCCAGACGTTACGAAGTTAGCTTTTAAGAGACTCTTAACTCCACCGACACGAATCAAGCATGAAGTATCATTCAATTGATATCCATCCAGCTACAAGGCGTTATTCTTTACCTATATAAGGGGGTAAACCTTCTACACTCAAACATCATTCTCTTAGTTTTGTGATTCTCCTAAAAACAAAGCAATCCCCAATCATGACTAACTCATCTGTTCTTGGTGATTTGAAGGCACTGCTTTTCCACTGTCTAGGTGCGGTTACTCCGAATCTGTGAGGCCAGGAACGTAAACGCGGTGGCGAGTTAATGGAAGTTGATATACTCCTGCTCCTCGATGCCTTGGTTTTTTAGTCTCATTCTTATAGTATTTTTTTTTCCATGGCAACCATATTCATAAGTAACTTTTATATAGGTTTAGATCGTCATTGAACTTTTTTTTCTCATAATGTAGTCTGATAAAGATCTATTTTCACATTAATTACAGTCAACCCTCATGCCAGCCACCATAGCAACTTTCAGGGACCATCTCCAGACTGGTTCACTGTATGAACTCAACGGATTCGACGTCACTCGGTGCAACCAAAGCTTCAGGCTTTCAGACTCACTTTTTTCAATCTGTTTCAGTGATTCAACAAATCTAGATGTGCTAACCTAACTAGATTCTCCCATTCATGAAGAACGTTTCAGGTTCCGTGATCACTTCGCAAATAACTTTATTCTCACAAAAAAAAAAAAAAAAAAAAAACTTTATTCTCACAACTATAAATAAGTGATG